ACCATTTCAACAACATGCTAATACATTATTGAAATGGTGTTAAACACGGGTCTATAAACAGTTGACAGGATCAATACATTATTGAAATGGGTCTATAAACAGTTGACAAGACGAATGCATTATTAAAATGGTGTTAAACACGGGTCTATAAACAGTTGACAGGATTGATGTTTAATACCATTTCAACAACATGCTAATACATTATTGAAATGGTGTTAAACATGGGTCTTTAAACAGTTGATAGGATCAATACATTATTGAAATGGTGTTAAACAAGGGTCTATAAATAGTTGATAGGATCAATACATTATTGAAATGGTGTTAAAGACGGGTCTATAAACAGTTGACAGAATCAATACATTGTTGAAATGGTATTAAACACGGGTCTATAAACATTTGACAGGATCAATACATTATTGAAATGGTGTTAAACACGGGTCTATAAACAGTTGACAAGTTGAATAAATTATTAAAGTGGTGTTAAACACAGGTCTATAAACAGTTGACAGGATCAACATATTATTAAAGTGGTGTTAAACACAGGTCTATAAACAGTTGACAGGATCAACATATTATTAAAGTGGTGTTAAACACAGGTCTATAAACAGTTGACAGGATCAACACATTATTAAAATGGTGTTAAACATGGGTCTATAAACGGTTGACAAAGTCAACACATTACTAAAATGGTGTTAAACATGGGTCTATAAACGGTTGACAGAATCAACACACTATTGAAATGGTGTTAAACGTGGGTCTATAAACAGTTGACAGAATCAACACATTAAAATGGTGTTAAACATGGGTCTATAAACGGTTGACAAAGTCATCACATTATTAAAATGGTGTTAAACAGTTAACAGGATCAACACATTATTAAAATGGTGCTTAAGAAAAGTTGTAGGTTGTTTCTTACAAAAAAAGAAATTTCTGACACTGACAACAATTGGGTATATAACCACGTGGAGCATTATTGCACAGTTTAATAGGTTACAGTCGATGTTAAAAAAACAACAACATATATTTACTTTTACCTTATTTGTGAGTGAATTAAAATATCAGATTTGGGCATCCAGATGTAGAGCAGTGTGTGCCAACTTAAGGGAAAGATCAAACATAAGAACAAGAGTGAGTTACGATCACGGAGGCAGAGATGGATACCGGATGAATCATGTTTGTTCACCAAAAGGGGAGGTTTACTGGATTTCAAGTTCTGATGTGTTCACTATGTCCAACAAGCGCCATGTTGTATTTCAAGTGGCTTGAAAACTACGGTGGACCAACGAAAGTTGGAGGTGTTAACCTGATAGAATGTGATCTTGTTTCTATCTCTGGTAAAGCTAACTTTAATGGATAGTAAATGTGCTGATAAGGG